ACACAGAGGAGATGCCCATTGTCCCCTGTAAAGTTCAGGATCCCAGACTGTCTTTTCAGACTTTGGTGGGAACTTCTCTTTTACGCTTGCATTGTTCCTTGGACAAAGGAAGTAGAATTTTATGCCAGCCATAATTCCAGCTAGTCAATACAAACCTGGCTGACACAGTATTGATGAAAGCATTTTATATAATGGTGTAGGTAGACACACCCTGGACTAGCTGCCTGCAGCTTAAATACTCATGTAAATGCTCACTTCAAAATGTATGTGCAGGTCAGATCCTCAGAGAAATTCCAAGATGCTACTAATGTTTTATTGGGCTATCATTTTGTGGTGGTTTCTTAAGTGTAGTGGTCTTATCATCTTTCTTGGGACAGCACTGGGCACATAGCTGATGTTAAAAATACACATTAAATAACTAGATGAAAGAATTAAATATAGAAATCATTACTTAAATTAAATGCCATGAGCTGAGGATCTATAATTCTTTTGATGATGATATAGCAATTTTTATTGTGGGAAAGTTTTTTGAAAGAGAATTGATCTATAACTCATTTGAATATTTGTCCAGACAATAAAAAAGATGGAATAACATAGGGCCATAATTCCAATGTGCAAGAAAAGGTAAAGAGTATAGCTATGTCTTGTTTGCTATTTTGTTTGTATACACTCTTGTGCTTTAATAAGTTAGAATGTTAGAGCTGGAGGAGATCTACCAGATATTAAAACTTTGCCCTAAGGAAATGAAATGACTTGCCTAAGGTCACACATTAGTTATTAGCAGATCCTGGACTAGAGTCCAGATTCCTAACTTTCATCATAGGCAATTCCCTCTCTATTCTTTGCTCAGTAATGAAGCCTTCTCCTTAGCTATATTTCCCCTACCATGTCACACAAATATCTCTTCCTGTGATTTTGAAGTCCATTGTGCTAGAGGTGAGCCAGTTTCATTCCTTGAGAAAAGGCTGTTGGAAGTAGAATTTATATCACCACATTTTAGCTGTTCTTTCTTAAATGACATCTCTGATGAACTAGAGGAAACACTGCTGTCTGAAATATTTCCAAGTCAGTAGCCACATTTTCATTTCACCAGTTATGCTAATTTTAAGAAAGGTAATATTATGGAAACAATTTGATTAGAAATGCCATGATTTTCTTTTCTCTTCCTCTGACCCTCTTATGTGTCTCTATCCATTTCTCTCCATCTCTGTCTCTCTCTCTCTCCCTCTCTCACGCACTCATGCACGTATGCAGAAAACTGTTGTTTTCTGCACTCAAAGGGCTGAGGCGTTGTCTAGATTGTTCTCCTTAATCATGAGCACACTCATACATTCCAGATGCAAACAAATTTGACTGTTTGTACAGAGCACTCCTCCCTCAGAAGTATTCTTTAGTTTCTAATAACTTAACACTAAGAGTGAACCTCATATGAGTGCACACCACACACAGGCACAGTGTGAACAGCCACGGGAGCCCCCACTGCCCCTGGAGACCCACAAAAGGCAATGCAGATGGAGAAGGGTACAGTTACCCATGGCTTCATTCTCTACATGCATCATGCTGAGCTCTTTATCAGGGAGCTTTCCCTGGGAGACATGCCCCAATAGTTACCCCTTTCTAAATGGAGACATCAGGTATGGCAAGAAGCATCTATCTGGCTCAAGAGTCTCTGGATTCATCACACCATCTCTTTATGAAGAAATCTTTTCTATCCTAACCCCTCAGAGCAAAGGCCATTTCTATCACATCTCTTTGACCACTGCAAAAAATGTAGAAAAATAAGTGGCCATTTCTGTAACTCTGTTGACCCTTAGCTTTCTCTAGGCTAAATTATCATCCCATGAGAGGCAGATCTAGCCTCTTACTAGATGCTGGCAGCTACCATTATGAAATTCATTGAATAGACTGCTATTGAGAACATCTTATCTGCTGAGCTCTTAATATATGAATGCTGTACATGAGGAAACTCAGATCATGTGAGAAAGATGATATTATTGATGATGATAGTGATAATAATTAGTATATGGCAGGCCCTGTACTAACTCAGTTAACCCCCACATCAACCCTACTAAGTATTATTATCTCTGATATTTATTCATGAGGAAGCTGAGGCTCAAAGAAGTTAAGTACTTTGCCTAAGATCACACAGCTACTCAGTGACAGAGCCAAATGATCTTTCTCCAAAGTCCATGGTGTAACCACTGTGAAAAAGTATACAATTCAATAGGTGTTAAGAACTATATAGGAGTGTGCACAAGATACCTAGGGAGCACAAAGAAGTCACCTAACTTAAGTATGAGGCATTATAGAAGGCTTCTTGGAAGAGATATTCTTTGAATGGCCTCAGAACCCCAATCCCTAGTACAGAGGCAGAGTCACTAATGCAGTCACAAAGGCTGATCACCACCATCACCTCTGGACATGACCTGCCCAAAATGTTGTTGGTCCTGATACCAGACTCCTATAAAAGGGAGTTTATCCTTCTTGTTTCTCCATCTCCTTCCACCCCCAACTCAGTTGTTCAGTTCTCAATTTACAGTCTAAAGCAAGTAGAAGAATTGGTTACTGCCTCCCTTTCACCACCAAGTGAACCCGGGTGGCAAGCGAGGAGAATTAATGCATTGAATCTGGACATATCTGAGATGGAGTGACTCCATTGCAAACTCATTGTGTCATACTTGAACAATATAAGGATTCTTTCCTTTCCCTCTGAGAGCCCACAGCTGCAGTATTTCTGTGCCACTTTACAGACTCTTATCAGAGTTTTAATGAAGTGTAGTTGGTTTGAAGTAAAGTCTGTCGGTTCTCATGAAAAAAATTAAATTTTGGTCTTACACTGCATATTCAGCTCTAAAACGGGACCCGGGGCTCATTATTCAGAAAACAGTGATTTATTTTCATCCCCAAATATTAATTGTGCTGCTGAATTTTCACGATAGGATGATGAGCTCATTACTGAGAAAGTTTTGCCCATAGGAAACAATTGATTACAATGATCTAGAAACTAGTTGCTCAGAAAGAATTTGAAAGGGCCAGACACTGCCACGCTGCAGGGGCTTTTGGCTGGAAAAAAGGAAACTAATTACCATACACAATCCTGGTGACATTCCATGGCAAATCAGTATGGCTCCTAGGATGCTTATAACATTTGTAAAATGTCTCTGCCTGCACTTTTTTGTAGCAATAATCACTGATTATGAACACAGGGCTGGGGAATAACACAAGATCTTTTAGTCCATCCTCCAATCCATATGTCAGATGTGCAAGACTATCTCTCAATTTAAACACTGCCAATAGTTTTAATCTCAGAAGACTGACATATAGTAGCTGCACAATAAATATTTGTTGAATGAATAAACAAATCTGAATGATCTGTTCTGGCTTTCCCGGACCTCCCAGAAGTGATTTCAGCCAAGTCTTCTATAGTAGAGTCCAAAAAGCAATCTAATTTTTCTAATCATGGCTTTGGAAGGTGCAGCAAGCGTAGCTTAGAAGGGAAAAGAAAGAAAAGAAAGGAAGGAAGATGTTAAGAAGGGAAGGAAGGAAAGAAAGCGATGAGAGAAAGAAGAAAAGACACAAGGAAGAAAAAAAGGAAGGGAGGGAGGGGAGAAAAGAGGGAAGAAAGAAAAAGAAGGAAAGAAAGAAGGAGACTTAGTGGGAGAGGTAAGGGAAAGAAAAAAGAAAAAGGGGGTTCAGGGAAGCAGGAGGAACAGAGGAGAATTTAAGCAGAAAGAAGGATAGTGAAGGAGGCAGACTGGAGGGAAGAGGAGGAGGATGTGGGAGAGCAGGCATCTAGTAAAGCAGTTAATGGCCTAAGAGCGGCTTTAGATATCTCTGGGTTAATCGAAAACAAATGATGTGACCTGGTGGTCTTAATAAGTGGGAGGCAGAAATAACCCCCTGGGAAGAATCTGTCTGTGGTGGGTTAACTAACTGGATAAAAGGGTTGGGGGAAGGGGGAGAGGGAGAGAGAGAGGAAGGAAGGGAGGGAGGGAGGGAGGAGGGAGAAAATGAGGAAAAACCCCTCCCAGTTAAAAAGTCTATAATCTTCTTGGAACTGTCAGTAAGTTCACTTTCACAGTGATGAGAAAGGCTCTGGTTTCCAGATGCAACTTTTCTAGGGAGAGACCTTAAAATTGCAAAGCCCACAGGTTAGGCTGCTGGTTGTGGGGAACTTAAGCCTGCTGATTCCAGAAAGCAGACCTAATTAATTCAGATAACATAGGCTCTTTCCATGTGGAAAATTTGGCTCACTTCATTGTATTTGTTGTTGTTGTTTGGCCAAGGCCAAGATGATGGTTTTTACTTGTTCTGCTCAGCAACTTAAAATGCTCGCTATCAGCAAGTTCTTTGTAATGTCTAACCTGTATCTTGCTTTAATAGAAATTTCTTTTCCCCTCTTTCTCCGGCCTCAACAGAGATTAATTAGTGCCTATCTTCTGTATAGAACATTCCTTCATATTCTTTACTCTTAGATCATTCATTAGCCATCTTCCCCAGGAGAAGTCTTTTCAAAATAACTAAATGTAATGAGACTTAGTCCTGCTGCCTTTTCCTGATACATCCTAGTACAGAGCCTCATGAACCTGCCATGGGGAAGAGAATCACAATAAAAAAATTTCAGATGAGGAATTAAATGTATATTCCTTTAGTATTTAGCCTAGATATCACCCAAAGTTTAACATAACCTTCCAAACATTTTTATCAGATTCATATGGGACAGGAATGATCACTTTTACATGAGAGAAGAAATTAGAACATGTCTTTCCCCAGCAGGTCATCAGCACGGCCAGGATAAACCTCCAGTGTCTGGACTTGAACTTTTTTGCCCTGCCCACAGCCCAAAGAATCCTTTATGTTTTCATGTTAAAAGTTCAGAAAAACCTCAAGGAAAATTAGAGAGCCACAGACACGAAGGGGAACTTGTTCCCTGTCACCCTGCTGTTCTAACATTTCCCTAGACTTCCAGATTCATCCTCCCACCACACCAGATTTCTCACCCTTAAATTCTTTCTCCAGAAAAAAAGCATTGCAGGAAATGCTCCGGCCATTAAACTGGTTCATGACGACAACTTTCTCAAAATTTTCCATTAGGCATCAGCTGCTCTTTAAGTTAAGAGTGAAAAGAAAGGTCATCATCTTTCTTGCTGCTTAAACTAGAGCATGACTCAGAAGAACAAACAAGGAAGAGATGGCGTTAATCTCCACATTAGTTTTTAATACCCCACGTGGTACTCCAGGCCCCACACAACCAGATCCAGGACTAAAGTAAGTCTGCCTTTCTTTATGTAACTGTTTATCTTTGCACAGACTCCCTAATCTTCTAGGACAGGTAGGTGGCTACAGAAAAGGCATGACATTCCTTTCCCTCATACTCGATAGAAACCCACCAGGCAACACTGGCTTCCTCTGGGGTCGGGAAGGCAGATGGCCAACACCATGTCAGAACAAAAGGTGTGGAGCTGAGTGTGAGCAGACCTCACTGAAGCCTGTCAGACAAGGTGGTGGGGACCTAAGGGAGATGAAAAGCCCCCTCCCGGGCTCAATGGCATTTGTGAAATTCCATCATTAGAGATTCCTTGCCCTTGTCTCCTGGTAGAAGACAACAAACCACACACTGAATCATTAATAAGCCAGTGGGAATTTGTTCATCAGATTACTCCCGCTGGAAGTGGGGCTGGTGGCAGCAGGAGCTCTCAGGTGTGCAGGCAGATTCTTCCATTAGCAATGCCGCCCAGGCCCCATGTAAGAGGATGCAAGCTGGAACTGTGCAAGGAGAGGGAGCAGACAGCCTAGTCTTCTCTCCATGGTCCAGCCAGTGGGTTTTAAGACTCCATGACTAATTTCTACTCAATGGCCTGCTAGGCTGGCACCTTTTGCATGTACACTGAGAACAGTGCTGCTCTCAGAATGGACCCCTCACAATCTTGATCAGCAGCCTTAGGTTTTATTTAGCTCAGAGTTTTTACTTGGTACAATGTCAATTTAGGTCAACAGAATCTCAGCCTTCTTGGCAATTCTGAGTAAGAGGTTGGCTTTAGAAAAGAAAAAAGGAAAAAAGGGGAAGTTGATACCGGCCCTGCTACATTTGGGATGAGTGTTGGTAAAACTACTTTTACTATGTTAAATGTTAGGAGGGCTCTATTCATTTTGTTTTGAACAGGCTGCATGGGCTGGGAGCCTTCTTTATACCCCAAATTCCTGATAACACATGTCCCATTGGCAACTGCCAAAACACAGGGTGTGAACTCTCTTTTCTTGGTTGTAAGGCTGGAGTTTCAGAAGTGATTTCAACTTTGACCGTCCAGATCTCATTTTTTAATGGATTTTGGCAAGCCAGCTGTCCATGACAGCACTTTCACCCACTAGCCCTGCCCAGGCTGGTGTGCATTTTGATCTGAAGCAATCCCATCCTGAGCCATGAGCTCTCTTGCTTCACTTAAAAGAGCAAGTCTCCCAGCATTCAGCAGCAGGCAACCCTCTGATTAAAGAATAGCCATTTTTCTTCGGTTTGGCAGGTACTGTGATTTTCTTGGGACATCCCCCACGTGAAAATGCATCCTGTCTCCCGGTGGGAAACCTTCCAGGTTTAGCTGGGGCTCAATGACATTTCCCACTAGAGAAGAGAAGAGTAAAGAATTGAGAAACACACTCATGACTTTTCTTCTGCAACCAAGTGTTTCAAGGAATTGGCCAATTAATGCTTCTGGCCATGGTATTTATCAAACAGTTGTGTTTACTTTCTTCATTTGGGGCAAGCTCTCTCCACCCCAATGGCTGTGGGACATTATGTAATTACCTGGGCCATTCTGGCAAAATATCACTAGTATCTGAATCATCTACGTTAGTTTAGAAACAGGCTAGAATTTTCCCTGGATACTTGTCTTCATGTTCTGTTTTTACTTTGAAAACCTGTTTTTTTAGATATAACTGGAGTCTCAGAAATCTCTCACATGGATTACTCGTGCCAAAGTGGTTATTAAATGAAGTTGGAAAGGGATTAGAGTTTTGGTTCTTTTACTTTACTTTCTTCTCAGTTTTTATCTTATTTTAAGAAAGATAAAATTACGCATCTTCTTTTACGTCCATCACTTCCACTCCAAAACGAGGAAGAAAGAAGTTAATGACCAAACATTTTTGCTCATCTCTGCCTCAGAACATTCCTTATAGGTCTATCCAGAGAGGACTTAGGCTGTGCTGATTCTGTCTGTGAAAGACTGAGATGAGTGGGTTTAAATAATGCATAGCTTTTCAATCTATTAAGGAGATGGCTATGTGGTTGTTTATCATATTTAAATGACTGAGCACTGGCAGGAACTGACATTGAAATGACACCTAAATGAGGGCACAAGATGGAAAGGAGGAGCAGGGGTGGTGGTGGCAGCACCAAAGTGATGACTTGTTAAACAATTGCAGTCCTTTCCCAGCAATATGCAACATTTCTGTTGGTGTTACTACTCCCTTCCATGATGCTCTTTTTCTCAAACCAGAACACAACACACCTTCCCCCACCCAAAGAATGTGTAGGCCTGTGGCCAGCACTGGTAGCCGAGGGATAGATAAGTCCACTGTCCTGGAATATAAATTTTTCCCCAAAGATTTGGGGGTTGGGACATACAAAACAATTTAACTACTAATTTAAATAATTTTATATTAAAAAGCAATATATAATGCAGTAAAGTACAATATTCTAATATGCCTTTAACATAAAAGGGGGGAGTACCACCAACTTTCTCAACTTCTGTGAGTGCTCTGCTAAATGCCAGGCTTCCAGGGAGCTGCATTTCCTCATCCCTGCAGTTAATTAGGTAGCTAGGCGGAAACATGTGGAAAGCACTTCCTGCTATAGCTGATGAAGACTACCTGGCACATCGGCATCCCAAGGCTGGCCAGCAGCTGGGGTTCTGTTGGACAGGGCTGACCCAAGTATGCTGCTGTGCGTGCTGGTTGCATGACATCTGGGCTGAAATGAGCCATTCCACCCCTCTTGCTCTAAATAAATTCCCCACTGTCTGCCTGTTGCTACTGCTTCTCACTTGACAGTAGTTATGAGGCCATTAGTAGAAAACAAGAATCTGCTCTTTCTCCATCTGCATATTGGACAAGTCCTGTACTATTTAGCTTGTGAGGCCTGATAGGCCAGCACAATCTGCCCATTGACTGTTGGCCTTCTTTCCAGTCCCAAGTACCAGAGTCTCCTGGCTTAGACTCTTATTTTGCATGTCTCTATCTGTCCCCAATTGAATGCTCTTCGGTTGCACCTGCATGGCACTCGTGAGAGGAGAGAAAGGGCTTCCTTTGAGCTAATTCAAACTCTTGGCCCTCACA